GACTTCCCACCTGATAGAAGAAAGGCCTCACAGAATAAAGGTGCACATACTTGCAGAGGGAAAGACCTCCAAGTTCAGTGCCAACCTGCTTTTCGTAGCCATTTTGTTTATTGCTTGAGACAAGATCTCATGTAGCCCAGGCTAGCCAAAGATAACCTTGAACCCTGGTCCTCCTGCCTCTACTTCCAAAGGACTATGATCACAGGTATGTGTTGCCATGCCCTGTTTTTCCATGGTTATTTTGATACTAGAAGCACAGAAATGCATTGTGCTGCACTCATATATAATAAGTGACTTACAGGAATTGCCTGGGAAAGTATGCAGAAATATTCCAAATGTAGTATGATAGGTAATTATGTATGTATTTTCCCCAACATTTGCTGTAAATAGGATTATACAACCCCACTCTGGACAATTTGGAGAGAAAGAAGCCTCAGTAACAAAAGCTCTATATAAAGTCATAAGAAAAAGTGATTAAAAGCTTTAAAAATATGAATAAGGGGAAGGGGGCAGCAGATGGTCACAAAGAACCCATGGAGAGCACTTGTTCCTGACATTTCAAGGGAACATGCACTCTACTCCTTCCTGTGAAACTCAGGGTCTCAGGGCTGGGACCTCACCTCCTACCTCGACTCAGCAAGTCCTGAAGGACATGCCACCCAGAAACATGCCCAGGAACAGCAGCACTGACTGATGACACCTATTCCAACCACCACACGTATACACAGCTCTCCTTCCAAACAGAGTAGAGGGTGATGGAGAGACCAGGCCTTTTCCCGCCCAATGACACAAGTTAAAAATACTGCCTGCTTCTTCGGCTAACTCCCATCTTAGCCTTGCACATTTAAAAATACTCCCGTCAGTGGCTCTGTGTTTGAAAATGTATCTTGCATCTGATAATTATGATGCATTTAAAGGGCAAAATTAGAAAGCACAAAATTAGGCTGGCAGGCTTAATTAGCCCATTCTTTTTTTTTTTTAATGGATGGAATTTGGGTAACTGTCTGCGCTGGGGGTATAAAGACCCCTAATAGGAATAGTGGAAATATACTGGCTTCTCTGCGGTCCCAGTCACTCAGTGAGTCAGAGCTGAGGATCAGCTGTGCAGTGAGGAATGTCAGACACCTGAAGCAAGAAGCTCAGGTGTTCTCAAGAAAATCCCAGGAGCTGGGTCACAAGGTAATCCATCAGTACAAGGCTTCCCAGGGGTCTGATGCAGTCCCTGTAGTAACTTGGTTTTCAATGGAAAGAGATAGGTAATAGCTGTGGAAACTAGGACCAATATGTTTACCCCTGGTGTCTGTGTGCCCCAGTGAACTTACGCTTCCCCAACTAGCTCTGGTTCTGCACAAACAGTAACAGTGATGCCTTCTTTTGCACGCTAAAGCTAGTTACTCCTCCCCAAGACTTAGGAGATGAAAGAGTACTCTGAGCTGGCCAGGCCATAAAGGGCAACTTCCCATCATCTTTTCCTTGCTGCCAACTGGAATCTTTGCAATCCGATTCCATGCTGATAAAGTTATCTTGATGGCTGTTTGCAAAGAGCTCGCCCTGGATCCAGACGGGTGGATCCATCCCCAACACAGCATGCAAGAGAGAGTTTTCTCTTTTCAAGTCTCCTCACATCTCTTTGCAAGCTGTGACAGGCTGCAGGAAGCCTAGTTGAGGCACAGTAATCCCAGGTATGAGTCATTTGATGAGTCAGATATGGCCCTCTGCTTTCTTCAAACTGTGGTTTGCCTCTTAACAGAGGCTGTGTTGTTCTTTACCCAATGAAGCTGTGAAGCCCTCTGTACTCTTGGAAAGGAGACCCTACTGCCTTAAGTCCAGCAGATAGAAGGCAGAATGGGCAGTCCAGGCTTTAGCTGCATGGAATGTTCTGAATCCATATGGGTACGTACAGAGCAACAGAGGGGCCTGAGAGCCAAACTTGGTTCCAGAATAAGATCTGACTTGTCCCTGTAGGAAGCATTGCCTCAACAAGGTAGCATCTCCAAGTTGCAAGACACTAGAAAACATCCATTCATTCAAAGGGAGATGTATATGGAACCGGAAGCACATTCTCCTGCAGGGATATGAGGCAATGCTTGAGGTCACATTTAATGGTTGCAAGTGTCAACTTTAGCAGTGTCCATGAGACACTTGTTATTACAGAAAAATCCTATGAGTCACTAACAAAGAAAGGGCCAAAATTCTGGCATTGTGGGCATTTAAAAATCTTCATTTAAAAAGGCATCTAATTTCTAACTAGAGAACAGATAACTAGAGAGGGTATAGCAGTTTCATTTTTAAATCAGCCCTGAGCAGAATTAGTTTACCCAGAGTGCACTGGGATAGCAAAATTGTAACTGTGGTGGTGGGAGCAGGAATGAGAGAAGGGGAAGAAAAAGAGAGGTTTATCTAGAGACCACATATAAATACATAATCACACACATGTCAGAATATGAAATAAAACACAAGAAGGTCTGAGGAGGAACCTTATGGGGCATCTGGGCTCCCTGCTTGGGGACCCTCCCTCTACAGAAAACATGGTTTCTCACCTCTTGTATCTCAAGACAAAAGTCCATAAAGAGCACAAATGATGCAGAGACAAGAAGGAAGAGAGAAGAAACTGAACAAAAGCTTCCCGTGGTGTAAGCTGTGCCTGCACACTGCTGCCAAGCTAAGAGCACCTGGTGTTTCAGAGCCTCTGATTGACCCTTCCTGTGAACAGGCATACTAAGAAGTACCACGGCTGTGAGCCAAGCAGGGAAGACAGGGAGAGCGGGAACCAGGAGGGAGAGGTTTGCTTGCAGACTAGACTGTTAAATTGACTTGGACGAGGTCCCTTCCATTCCTCCCTGCATAAAATAGTTGTCTATTTCAGATGGATTACCACAAACTCCCAGATAGAGCCCTTAAGTGCTGTTTACACAGTGTGCTAATTGCAGTAATGGAACTCACCCCTAGCTGTCCCTCAGCTTCGGCCCAGTCTCCCCCATGAGCTTCGTTAGTAGTCCTATTTGTGGCTCTTTCACTCAGCCCCCAACAATGAGCTAAGTGGGAAATATGTAATTATTCATTTTATTGCTATTGATGCTGCTGCTGATAACTGGCCATTGCTAACTGGGGTTTGTCGACACACTGTCCAAGAAGAGTTGATCTGTCTGGAGTCAGGGTGACCTCTCAGGACTGGCTTGGTATTCACTGCCACAAGGGCCTTGTTTTCAGATGACCCAGAAAGCAGAGCTCACAATGAAGAACATATCTCTTTGTCATCAAAACTGTTTCATTGGTGCCTGATAGACTTGGTTTGGGTTTTCCCCCAAATTAGCAGCAGAAATAATAGCCCAGTAGTTCTCTCAAGTAATTGTCTACAGCTTGGTAAAATGCATGTAAGTCAAGGTCAACGAGCTACTCCACATGCTTGGGCCATGACTGTGAACTTCTTGTGAATGTTCAGTGGTGACTTGTTCATGATGTATCTCATTCAACAGCCTTTATCCTTTATATACCTTGATCCCTTCAAGTTCCCATCTGGATTCTAATTGAAGGCAAGACCTGTTTCTCCTGACCTGAGACTTTGGCCCTGTCCCCATTTCTGGTTGCTTTTGTAAGCAGCCATCTCAAATTTAGCTGCTTAAACCAACACAAACTCACTTTCTCTCAATGTTGGAGGTCCCAGTTCCCACATGTGTCTCACTGGGTTAACCTCAAGATGTTGGCAAACCTGTGTTCTCATCAGAGGCTCTCAAGAAAATCATCATTATCTTGCCCTTTCAGCTTGTAGAAACTTCTTGCATGCTTTGGCTCCTGGTCCCATCCATCCTGTCTTCACAGTCAGTGAGGGTGGGGCTAGTTGGCCTTATACTACAGCACTGTCACTTTCCTCTTCTGCCCTGCCTTGCACTTTTAAGCACTCTCCTGATTACACTGGACACACCCAGGTAATCCAGGATAATCCAGCCTTCTTAAAGTCAGGTAATTAGCCACCTTAATTCCTTCTGTGACCTTAATCCCCATGGTCCACATGACTTCGGTGCTGGAGCATAGGAGGTGGACATCTCTAGGGCCATTATTCTGTCTACTGCAATAGCTTTTCTTTTGAGGGCGATTCTTATCTCAACCTGAAGGTTTCTTTCCTGAAGGTCTTAAGGACAACACCTCTCAGAGGTAATCTTGCATCTTGGGATTTCAATATGCATAGATAGAGAATACTACACACATATGTCTATGTGCACTCCCATAGACATACTACCAATGCCTACCTCATGAAATGAACCCAAATAAAAGTATATTAGATTGAACTCTGCATACTGCAAACATTCAATAAACCTTTCTGTTTATTCAACCCACCAATCAGAAGATCAAGTTCTAGTCCAGGGGTTCTATAATTATATCATGCCTGAACTCCAGAGGCAGACAAGGTTGATTTCCTGCCTAGCTACATTGCCATTTTATGGTACTCTTGGTGAGACACAGTGACCACATCTCTTAAAAATAGAGTTACGCAGCTAATAGCTGCCAGAGGCTGAGCATATGCTCCAAATATGGTTTAGGCCAGTGGTTCTCAACCTGTGGGTCATGACTCATTTGGGGGTTGCATATCAGATATTTACATTAGGATTCATAACACTAGCAAAGTTACAGTTAGGACATAGCAATGAAATAATTTTGTGGTTAGGAGGTCACCGCGACATGAGGAACTGTATTAAAGGGTCACAGCATCAACAAGGTTGAGGACCACTGGCCTAGGGTATAATAATTCTCAAAAGCAGAGGCCTGTGTTATCATCTTTGTCTTCGTTGTAACCAACTTAGACAGGAAAATAAGAGCCCTCAGCGTTACAGCTACTTTGAAGGAGATATGTTTGAGTTCGTAATTGAAGTCAGACAGGAGCCAATACAAGGCGATATTGGATACAAACGAAATATATTAGACTGGAACTCTGCATACTGCAAACATTCAATAGACAAAAGTGAAAAATTTATTTATTCAGTAATCAAAAAGTGTCACAAAGATGAGGCAGAGGCATTCTAGTAGAGGGAATGATGTGTAAAATCCAGAGGCACGAGTCAAACTGGCTCATTTGGGATCTATAAGCAGTTTCATGGGGTCAGATGAAGTGGAACAATGGTTATAGGGAAGGACCTGCAGGAACTGGGGCTGAGGATGCCCCAAATGGTCAGCACAGACACACTCATTAGTTCATTCTGAGATTCTCCCCCATTCACTCAACAAGATGATGCACAACTGGGACACACACAGAAACTACATATTCCTGGGACATGTGCACTGATTACATACCATGAGGATGACAGATAGGTTTTGGACCTACAGTCATAAATACATACATTCATAATCCAAGTACACAGGTAGAGGCCTGAACACATACATGTAGAAACAATACATCACTAACCATGTGGCCAACATACACATACACATAGAGAGAAGCTTTGTAAACCTGTATATGCAATATGCATGTTTACCATGTGTATGCAAACACATATATTCATGCAGCACACACCCATAGTGCTAAGAATAAAGGTGAATAAAGAAAACACACACTACACTCATTGTCCATGGTTACATATGGAACACTGAACTGTATAGACTTTCCAACACACTTACTAGACATACACATTCAAACATTGTAGAGTGTACATACACTCTCACTATTTACACACACAGGAAATGTATGCATGCACACAAACTCATAGAGAACATTGGCAGGAGATTATGCCAAGTTTTGTGTACATACACACACAACCACACACACACACACACACACACACACACACACACACACACACACACACTAACCAGGCACGCAAACTCCTCATTTCTTTCTGGAATGTGTTTGGGTTCTGAGGCAGGCAGTTGTTTGGCCTGAGGGAGACTGGGAGAATTCTCTCAGCTACAGTAGGCAGAGCAGCTCTGAGACCTGTTTGCATTGCACAGCTCAGCTCTCCCTCCCTCCCCTGAGGAAGAGTAGCACAGAAGCAGCACCTTGGTTGTCCCTAAACACCCAACTTCCATCTTGTCTCCAATCCAGCCCCACTGGAGTCTCCAGAGGTTGTGACAAAGCGATATCATACAGAAGCATAGCTGGGTCTTTTGCAAGAGTCGTCCATGTGAGACTGCCTGCCTGTCCCCACCCCTCCCTTCCAAAGGAACTGGCAAGAGGCCAGGCCAGCCCAGAGGGAGGGGGTAGAGCCATGCGCTGGAGGTGCTCCTGGCACTGTGAGAGCCTCATCAGTGTGCTCCCAGGGGCCCTGTTTGGGTGATGAGCCCAGGCTGCACTTGAGCTCAGCAGTGAGGAGGCCCGCACAACATCTGCTGGGCCTATCTGGGGCTAGTCAAGCACATCTTCCTCTTCTGCCCGGGCTCATCTAGGAATTGGGTTCCAATGAGCTGGAACCCTGCGCTCCAGCCTGAAGTTTTGACAAGTTGTTGTTTCCAAGCAGCTGCCAGCATGGAGCTGTGACCTCCATCTGGGTTAATGAGTGCAAGACTCACCACGTGTCTGCTCTGCAGCTTTAGCTCATTGTCCTGCTCCAAGGAACTCATAAACAAGGGCATGCTTCATCCTAGGTGCACAGCTTCCTCCTTGGAGACCAGTCTATACCTTTGCTCACAAGGAGCCTCAGCAGATGAAGCCCAGGACCCAGGTCTTTGCTGCAGGATGAGGAAAAATAAATGTGATCAGTAGGACAAGCTAGTGGAGGGGCTGTTCATAACGTATGTCAGATGTTACACATGGCTTTCACTCGTAGGAGATTTATATAAAATTACTTCAAACCCTAATTCCATAAACTTGCAAGAACCCAGAGCTATCTGAAAATTACTGTCAATCCCAGACACTTATTTCCTCCTATTTCTCTTGGCTCCTAAATTGCCAAAGTACCTGCATGTGACTGCACTCCACCTCCATCAAAAGTACTAAAAACCCCATTTCTTGGACTAGAGAGATGGCTTGGTGGTTAAGAGTACCGAATGCTCTTCCAGAAGACCCAGGTTTGATCCTTAGCACTCATAGCCATCTGTCACTCTAATTCCAGTGGATCTGATGCCCTCTTCTAGCCTCCAAGGGAACTTGGCACGCAAGTGGAGCAGAGACTTACATGCACTCAGACACATAAAGATTTTTTTAAACCCATTTCTTGGAAGAATTTCCAAATAAAATGTGTCTGTATTAACTGGAGTTTAATGGTTTTACTCAAAGGTTCTTGGCCACATGGAGGGGTCTATGACAAGGCTCTAGTCATCCGACAGGCTTCCACCCTACATATACTCCCATATTCCTCTTCCTTCCCTCTCATGAGTAATACACAGTTCTGCCTCTGTTCACCAACTGCACACACTTACGCCAGGGATAATCAGCAGCCATCACTTCTCCCTGAGACGTCTTTTTGAGGATTCTACTTAAAGAAACTCTCATGACAGCTGTCCCACCCCAAAAAAATTTATTTCCTACAGTGTGACATCATCAAGCTGAGCGCCATGAGGAAGCTCCCTGGTAAAGATGGATAAACATCACTGGAATGCACTCCGAAAGTGACCCAGGGTCACCACCCAACTAAAGGGGGAGAAGAAACAAGCCTTGAAGGTTGAGTCTGATTATTGGTCTAGATCAGGCCTTGGGGAGACAGATGAAGCTGGTGTTTGAAGCTAGCACCTCAGGTGGGCACCCGCTAGACCCCAGGAAATCTCTCTCCCTCCGATAGGGTTGAGCATACTAAATGTGTCCCCAGGGGTTCTCTCTACAGAGGCCCAGGCAGCATTTTTGTTCTATGATGATAACAGAGGCCTAAGCCCCATATACCCACCCCCATTCCTCAGTCACTGTGGTTTCTCCAGGCCAAGCTGGTCAAGCCAGGGGCAAGGTTACAGGCTGCCTTGGAAGTATTGACTAGGGGCCATTCATGCACAAAAATGGTCCCTTCCAACCAAGTCCATTTGTTTCTCCTCAAGGGCCTGGGGATGTTGTGCCAAGCCAGAATGACTCATTGGCTCTAGAAACACTCATCCACCCTCTCCCCAACTTCAGCAAAGTAGCCATCCTTTGGCTCTACCCAAGTAGCCAAGGCCAGTTCTATATGAAAGCTCAGGGGAGACAACCCGGACAAGATTCTGTATGTGAGCTTTTGGGCCCCAACCCTAGTACAGAATCCCATATGAAGGTGTGCTAGCTTCCACCAAGAATTCAAACACCATTCATCTAAACAGGAATCTGGGCCTTCTCCAGCAGCTCACCCCTTTGGGAATCTCTGAAAGCATTTACCGATTTTGTAAATGCTTTCATTTTTTTCTGAAAATATGTGGAGCTTCACACTAACTGGATTGGGCAGCTTCCTTCCAATAGTTTAGAAACTTCTAGAAAAAAACTTCATCTATGTAAAAAATGCATTTTTTTTCAGATTCCTCAACATCAATTGAGGACTCCAACAACCTATTTTATAGAAAGAAAGAGAGAGGAAGGAAGGGAGAGAGAGAGAAAGAGAGAGAGAAAGAAAGAATGAAAGAAAAGAAAGAAAGAAAGAAAGAAAGAAAGAAAGAAAGAAAGAAAGAAAGAAAAGAAAGCCAACCACCCATGGGGTGGAGAGATGGCTCAGTTGATAAAAATGCTTGCTCTGCAAGCATTGGGACCTCAATCAACCCCAGCACCATGTAAAACCTGGGTACAGTAGCATGTGTCTGGGAAGGCAGAGACAGGAGGCTTGCCAGCTGGCCAGTCTAGCCAATCTGGAACTACTGGATCAGTGAGAAGTTCTGTCTCCAAAAATAAAGTAGGTGACTATAAGATTGCTCAGTGGTTAAGAGCACTCACTGCTTTTGCGTTAGACTGGAGTTCAGTTCCCAGCACCCACATAAGGTGGGTTACAACTGCCTGTACGTCCAGCACCAGGGGATCTGGCACCCTCTTCTGGTCTTCCCAAGTACCCATATGCATAGACCCATACACACACACACACACACACACACACACACACACACACACACACACACAAACACACACACACACACACACACACACACACACAACACACACACATTTATAAATTTAAAACATAAATAAATAAATCTTTAAAAGTGAATGAGGTGGAGCATGACTGAGGAAGGTTCCCAGTGCTGAACCCCATGTTCATGCACATACAAAGCCATCAAACTGTCCTAACTGGGCCTCCCATGGATTGTGCATCCTATGAAGTTACACCACTTACTGGCTTCCTGGAACAGTTGTAGATATTAAACAAGGCAATTATAATTACAAAGACAGGCCATGCCACACAGTGCTTGGAGCACTTTCCAAGCATCACCTGACTCCTCCTTCCTGGGGCTCAGGGAGCATCTACACAGATGTCTTGAAGAAACTGAGCTGAGAGGGGCTAAATGGCTCAAGTTCACACAGCTAATAAAAATCATATTATGCGGCAAATTAATAGAGCAATAAGATCGCAAAAGGTGAACACTCAGCCAACTGAGAGGCACAAAATGTTTTAGTGGTTTATAAGCACTTTGGAAAACATGTGTATTAATTGGCTATGTGTGTGCTAGTGAAGAAGCTAGAAGCCTGCCCATGGACCTTCCACTGTGTGAAACTACTTCCTGTGAGACTACTTTCTGAGACAGAAGGTCAGGCACCTGCAGGTGACCTTGATGTGATCTTGTGTTTCCTCCAGGAAGGAGATGTCACTTATTTATTCAACAAATAGATTGATTCAGCTCCTCCATGGGGCAGTGCAGTCAGTAGGAGTTAAAATTGATAAGCAAAAGAAATTTGGAGCTGAGAGAATAGTCAGCTGTGATACTTGCCTAGAATGTGTAAAACCCATGCTATGGTTCAATCCCTAGTATACACACACACACACACACACACACACACACACACACACACACACAAACACACACAAACACACAGAAAGAGGGAGAGAGACAGAGGAGACAGATACAGAGACAGACAGATAGACAGACTCACGTAGACCAAAACAGGAGAACAGGGTGGTTTATCAATCTCAAGTGTTACAATGTTCAGAGTCAAATGACTCTTTCTGGAGTCTTGCTTTATTCATTATACCCTTGTTACTATCCTTGGCCTCTTTGTCAATCACAATCTAAGATAGAGTCAAATATTGTGTGACACTGTTCCTAAGGCGATAAAAACAAAATTGAGCTCACTCCAGTCAGGGAACAGACAACAGACCAAAGTAAGGACACCCCTCTCCCTCAAGTCCAACTTGGTGACTCTGAGAGATTAATGGAGTTAGTTGTAGGAATAAAGGTCAGGGATTAGTTACAGAGGCAGAAATGAGTCAAAGATGACTATGTCACCAAAAGCCCACCCCAGCTTAAGTGACAATTCATGGAAGCTGGAAAACTGAAGTGCACCATACTGCCTCCAGGACCTCAAAAGATTGAAGACTGTCTCCTCCAGGTAGCTCAGCTTGTCTGAGCCTCTTCCAGACACCTTAACTTGTCTGAGAGTATCTCTCAGCAGTTCTTACTGCTTACGTGTGCTTTAAGAGGGGGGGGGGAACCTAGTGAATCTGGTCAGTTTCAGGAACTTCCTGAAACCTTGAGGGGGGGGACCTAGTGAATCTGGTCAGTTTCAGGAACTTCCTGAAGCCTTGAGTTGCTTACTTCCTGCACTTAGCAAGCTTCCCTATGAGGATGGACTGCTTCACCTCCCTTAGAACATACTGAGCCTTCAGGAGCTTCCCTCCAAATGGAAGGTTCTACCTTGGAGGGAGTGTCAAGGATGTAGGTTGTGATTAGACAGGGTAAAGTCTTATACCCATTGCAGATCCAGCAGTATAGCTCTGGTGTAATCTATGTATGTAATTTAGAATAGGCCAGCAATCATACTATAAAAAGCAAAAAACAAAAGGTACCAATTTGAATAAATATGATTTACCTAATATATCTAAAATGGATCCCTTTATGATGCGATCAGTAGGAAAAGTATAAACAAGAGAATGATTGTTTTTTTGGCTCAGGGCTGTAAACTGGGTTAAAGTTTTGCATACAAACCAAATCTATCTGTATGGGTCACATAACAGTGTGACTTGTAGTTCTTGTGTTGGTCAGCTAAGCACCAGCACCATCCATCATCAGGAAGTGAATGATTCTTAGTTTTCGTCAACCTGTCACCATCTTTACAATTTAAGAACATCCATATCTCAATCAATTATTCCTCTCTTAAATTAAAATTAATGCATTGTAAATTTCATATACATCTAGAGAATTTCATAGCAGCCTTTAAGGTATGTAGAGGCAACCTGAGGCATCCCAAACAGAAGTGCCACCAGGTCTCAGGATTCAATTCAACTCAACTTAGCCTAAGAACATCCCCCAAGTGACTGACTGGCTCACATTTTGGGAAAACCAGTGATGATACTGGCCTCTAGTGTAGCTGGATAATTTAATTGTAATCATGTCCCCAGGGTCTGTTCCAGTGGCTCCAGATTTACTTACCTCAGAGTTGCCTTAATGCTTTTCTTGTGTCCCCCTGATATAGAAATATGGCTCCTCCAAGCATTAGTCTTAAGCCATCCTTGGAGTGAGAAATCCCCCAAGACAAACTCATCTTTTCCAAGAATTCCATACATGCTAGAGCCAAGGCTCATTGTTTGGGATCAGCAGGGTATGCTTGTCACAGAGCCCACGTGCTGAATGATGTGCATTTAGTCTGAGCTGAGTCAGCCTGGGAGCCAGAACAACAAGGTCAGTCCTAAACCTGTGCACACCTCAAGAATAGCTTTCCCAGTACACACCTGTATCATGGGAAGTGCTGCATCTCTGAGGTGGGTATCGGAGTTGAAGCCAGCAGATCATTGTGTCCAGGATTAGGGCAAATGCCTCTGTAAAAGGTGAAGGTGGTGTTTGTGGAGGTCAGTCGAGCTTAAACACGAGTGTTAAGGCTGTAATAAGAGCCTTGCTTTGCTTCTGAGCAGTGTGCTTAAGAAGCCTTGTCTTGGGGCTAGTGAGAAAATTTAGTCAGTAAAGCACTTGCCATACAATTATGAAGACATGAGTTTGATTTCCAGAACTCATTAAAAAACCCAGGTACGATTCTGTGCACTCGCAATCCCAACACTGGAGAGGCAGAGACAGGGGGATCCCTGAGGCTCCCTGGCCTACCAGCCTAGCCTAGTTGATGAGTTCCCAGCCAGTGAGAGATACTGTCTCAAAACAAAGTAGAGAGTGTCTAAAGAAAAACACCTGAGGCTGTTTTCTGCCAACCATACACACACACACACACACACACACACACACACACACACACATACACACACACATGCACGAATGCACACAGGCTGACATAGGCACATGCACACACACGTGCACACATGCATCAAGGTTCCTTGCCTAATTTGTGGGCTTCTGCTCACCCCTCAAGAGCCCCCAAACCTAATTGACTTAGATATCAACACGTATTACTGTGTTGTACCACGTCAAGTTCCCCTGATGAGGTGAGGCTGGTGGATGCTATGACTTAGTGGAGTTAGACAATCCTAGTTTCAAACGTCAACTCTGTCATTTTGGATGCACTATCTCCTGTCTTTCAATGTGTCTAATGTCCACATGGGGTCCATCCAACAGCTAACAGTGGGAACTTGAGACTTTGAAAACATTCTGGGGAAAAGGGAAGGTGTTTGGCTTGCTGTTTCTGACAAACATTTCAGTGAGAACCTGTTTCAGTTGGATATATTAATGTTGTGAGTACAGGCATGTTAATATTGAATGTACAGGTATGTTAATAATATTATATGTACAGGTACATTAATATTGCATGTATAGGTATGTTAATAATATTGTATGTATGGGTGTGTTAACCCTGTATGTACACGTATGTTAATATTGTATGTGGAGGTATGTGAATCATAGTCTTTCATAAGTTTCTAAGGTTCAGAAAATACGGTAAAATCTTGATTATGTTGTTGTTAATTTATCCCAACCAATGAAAGCCTACTGGAAAATACACACACTCGCTCTCCCTCTCCATATGTGTGTGTGTATATATCTGTGTGGCTCTCCATTCCTTCAGGTATAAAGAAATTAAAAGCTAATGCATTGTTAGATTATATCTTTAGCTTTACATTTTTTATTTTATTGTGTTTATTATTGTTATATATGCAGGGTGATTATGTGACTGTGTACACATGCAGAAGACAAAGGACAACTCTAAGGAGTTTAGTCCCTTCTTCTACCTTTTTGTGGGATAAATGTATGGAACTCAGGTCATTGGGCTTGAGAGGCAAGTGCTTTTAACCACTGAGCCATCTCAAATACCCAAAGTTACTTTTAAAAAAATGTATGTGTGTATGTGTGTGTGTGTGTGTGTGTGTGTGTGTGTGTGTGTGTGTGTTACATTTCTGTTGCTGTGATTAAACACCATGATCAGGGCAATTTATAGATAGAAGGGATTATTTAGACCTGTGGAATAAGAGTCCATCACGGCAGGGAGGCATGGCAGTAAACAGCAGTCACATCAGCTGTAACAGGATGCTGAGGGCTCACATCTTGAACCACAAACTGGATACAGAGATTAAACTAGTGGCAAAAATCTTTAAACTGTCAGTGCCATCTCCAGTGACACATTTCTTCCAAGAAGGCCACACAGCCTAAGCCTTCTTAAATAGTACCACCAACTGGGGACCAAGTGCCTAATACCTGAGGCTACCACTCAAACTACCACTGTGTGTGTGTGTGTGTGTGTGTGTGTGTGTGTGTGTGTGTGTGTGTATACTAATGTGCCTAAGTCACTTAGTGTTGCCTATTCACTCACAAACACTATAGCTAGTATCCAACTGCACTGCAATAATTTGTTTAGAAATCCCTCTTCCCTGTGAGACACTGGCTTCCTCTAGTGCAGGGACATTGACTTATTAAAATCTGCATCTCAATCCAGATTATGAAAAAATACATGTTTTTTTTTAAATAATAACATGAAATAAACAAGTAGGCGAAGATGAAGACACATCCCCAGCCCATCTGCAAAGGACTTGGGCCCCTAAATAACAATATTGCATTGAAGTCATTTGCAGTCAGCTGCGTGCGCAGCACCCCATGGGGCTGGAGCTCCTGGAATGTGGATTTCAAATACTGCCATGTGATTAGTTATATTAACAATCGCTCCCCTCCACCTTCTAACATTGGATAAGCAGACTCAAAACAAGAGTGTCCCAAGCCCAAAATGTCGGCTTACGGGTCAAGCTGTGTGTATTGAAGGTCCTAAACCATACAAAAGTCCGCTTTCTAAGTTCAAGTGACTCTCCATACTCCGGTTTTGAGAGTGAGAATCTGCTTGTCTCTTTTCAACTTGGAAACAGAACCAGACTTGTTGCCTCTTGGCCCTTTAGCTAAAATAAAGTACAGACTCAGGCTCATCTCAAGGCAGTCCCCCACATGACCTCATTTCTGCCACCTGAAACCTGAAAAGTGGAGTCAGGAAATGATCAAAGGCAAGGCCCCCAGCATCACCTCTTAGCCCGCTGAATCAGAAGCAGTCAGGCTGGGCAAACTCCCTTATTAAAGGAGGGCTCCCATTTGGACCCAGCAGCCCCTTCCAGTGAAGGAAGTTAATCTCATCGTAACCCTGTTTTGTAAATACAAAGTCTGCCTCCAAAGTTCCAGGGAGAGCACATTTCCCAATAACGAGGGAAATGGCATTTACAGGAAGGTCTGAAAGGCTCCTTCAGCAGCCTGCATTTTTGTAAGCCCTGTATGAAACCTCCATGTGGGCATGACTAATGGATCCACCTAATTAAATTTTTACAGCATTCCAGGGCTGGAGTGTCAAATGTTTGCTTCCAGCTTGTCTCCTTGTAACACTGTCAAGTAAGGCTCCCATCCCACCCCCTCCTACACACACCTTTTTTGGGGGAGGTAGGCTACATTCCAGTGCAGTATGAAACCAGAATTAGGCATTTGGCAAGACAGAATTTGAAAAGATTGGTTGGCTTCATGACTCCTATGGACGTTGGGGAAAGAGGGCTTCATGAGGGTACTCTGTAAAACTCACTTTCTATCCCTTGCTATTTAGCTGGTTTCCACAAAAAAAGGGGGGACATGTGATTGGACCATGTGTTTGTCTCCTTACTGAAAGGGGAGGGCTTATCTCAAACTGGGTAGATGGTTTAAGGATATGTTGAGCACTGCTCAGCAAACAAAGAACAGCTTTGAAATTTCAGGTTGCTATTTCAGGATCTGGGCAGTGCCCTCCTAACTGATAATGTTGAAGTGTTTTATTGAAAATAGATGCTCAAGTTTGATACATGTCAATCAATCTCTGGATGATTTCTAAACAAGAGATTCTTGAGGTATTGTCCATATATCATCAACAACAGAATCACCTGAGGAACTTGTTAAAGTGCATGTTCCTGGACGAGACCTCAAATCACTTCAATCAGAATTTGCAAATGGATCCAGGGAGTCCAGAAGATCGACTATACGGAAGGGTCTTGTGGACCCACAGAAGCTCTCTTTGTCTTCAAAAGAGCCTGAAGGAGCTTCTTAAACAGTGAAAACTATAAGAATCCATCACAGTTCCCTGCCCTTTCCCCAAGCCAGCCCACCCTTTCTGTACAATGTTATGAACACATGTTCACAAATACTCCCACAAACCCATGTAAACAAGGAACCTGTACTTATTTATACGTATATTTATACGTATATTGGGGGCCTAGCAAACACTCATATTTGGAAGTAAACCCTGCTTTCCACATGTTCTGAAACAAAATATTACACCTCAGTCCTTGTTGAAACAATCTGCCAACCCATCAAAGATTGCTTTCTAATTCATCGTAGGGAAAAATCACTAACCACAAGCAACCCAGAAAGTCATCTTGCTCCCAGCCCTCCATTCTAATGAGATAATCTCCTGTTGCCATGAAAATATGGTTGACTAGAGTCAGAAATATATGCTGCAATCATGCAGATTCCTTGACAGCCATTCCTCCTGGCCCAGGTCTGAGGACAGATGAACTCACTGCCATACTGAACCAAGTAACCAAGTAAATGTTCTTTGTAATCAATGGGGCTTCAGAATTGGGAGCTCCTTACAGTGTCTACAGAAAGCTGTTTCCTTTGGATAAGTTACATGACCTGATTGCATCTCAAGCTCCTTTTCCATAAACCAAAAGTCTACAAAGATGAAATGAGCCCATGAAGGAAATGGCTAAGGTCAAGGTACAGGAACAGCCAATAATAAGCAGTCATGGACCAGTGATTTGCTTGGCAGAACACGTCTATTAAATACACTAGAAAGTTCTCCCTCTGCATCTTGACCCTTCCAGCTATTGGCTGGGAAATCCCATGTCCTCTGCTTAACCTCTCAGAACACCAAGCTCCTCGCAGGCATAGAAGCATCATTGCCACTGGACTCAGAACTCTTGGGACAATTGTCATGTGTTATAAGAACCTGGGCAAGGGGCATCCTGAAAAGGAGACAGGCGACCTCCCCTCCTCTGCTTCTCTGAAAATAGATTATCTCTTTTAAGGAAAAGGCAAAGCTCCCTACTTCTGCTCTAGAGGGAACTTCAAACAAGGAGAAGGGACCAGGGTAAGGATGTCACTGGAAGAAGAGAGTTCCAGCCCCATAAATCAGGTTCCTGTGGGAATCTTTCAGCAAAATGTAGGATTCTGCTTTCCATGTTCCCTGGGCTGAAGGAAAGAAACTTCATCCTGCCTACAGAACTCTTGGGGTTTGATACACATCCCACAGAAGGAAAGGGCTATTTTCTCCTTGAACTTGGGCTGTTTTTTTCTGAAAGGTTTTTCTTTCGTGAGTAACAGATAACCTTTGAAATTGGTGACATGGCTTCAAACACGCATGTTGAAACCACGGGGGTCTTTGGACCTAGAACAGTCTGTTTTTCTTAACTTTGGGTTCTTGGAGAGTTGACTTAATCTCTCTGAATTCCTGCTTAAAAATACATAAATATAAATAAACAAATAAGTAAGGAGAAAGACCGCAGAGCTAGCTCAAGTAGATAGAAGGACTTGCTGTGTGAACCTGAGGACCACTATTCATACCCCCAGAACCTGTTTTTTTGTTTGTTTGTTTGGTTGGTTGGTTGGTTTTTTTTTTTTTTTTTTTAAGAAAAGTTGGATGTCAAGTCATTTGTAAGTAAGCTACAATCCATATATTCACAGAGCTTAGGTATGGAGTAAGGGACTGGCAGGGTGGGGGAAGGGGGAATAAAGCTCCCCAGGAAGGAGAAATAGAACAGATAGGTAAGGATGGACAGGGCCTGGGGAGACTAGAATTGGAGGATCAAACGGGGAGGGAGAGGAGAGAAGGGGCAAGGGAAGGAATACAGGAAGGGACAGCTAAACTTAGGGCCACATGATGGATCATATGGAAGCCTAGAACAGTAGAAACATCATATACATTGAATGAAGGGTTATACCTAATTGAGTTGTTGGTCAAAGGGGTTCCTTGGGAACCCCCAAATAAACCTAAGCTATTATCGAGGGTATTTTTGCTCTCCACAAACTGACAGTAAGGCCCTATTGCTGGACAATACCTACACAACTCACTGAACATGGAGAAGTCCATCTGCTGCCTATACAGGAGCCTTCACCCCTACCGATAGTGCACATGGCACTGGAAGGAACTTTGCCGGGTACCAAAGGAGAAAGTACCCACTAACCCAGGTACAAACCTTCAATCTGCAGTGGAAACCGGCCTGCAAGATATGCTGGTATAGTAGTAACACAGAGCTAGTGTTTGTAACCAACCAATAAATATCTGGTTTGTTTTAAGGCTTGCTCCACAAAATAGAACCTATATTTGATGCTGTTTGGATGTTCAAGAACCTGAGACTAGATAAGCCAGAGACCTAGGCAAAAACCAAATACTGCTGTTCCCGCTAAAGGAATATAGCAATAAAATGACTCGTAACAACATTCTGCTTTACTCATAGACTGGTGCCTGAGAAGTTTTTCTCCTATAGCACATGAAAACAAATACAGAGACTCACAGATGGAAACCACGCAGACAACAAAAGTTCTTGAAACAGTCAACCCTAAGTGGGATGTCTCTATCAACTCCCTCCCCTCAGGGCTCAGAGAACTCTGCAGAAAAGCAGGGTGGAAAGATTGTAAGAGCCTGAGGGGGTGGAAGCTACCAAGGAAACAAGGCCTTCTAAACACAACACAACTCACACACACATACATTCAGAGATGTGACAGCATGGACAGGGCCTGCATAGGTCTGCACCAGATGGGTCCCAAAACCAAAAGGAGAAGTGGACGCGTGAAAAACTGGTTTTCTCCAAGGGAAACAAACTACTCTTAAGGCTAGGCCCCATGCCCCGCAGTAGATGGCCAGTAGCAATGAACTCTACAACATCTTTGGAGGTTCTTTGTCTCATAAAGTTGACCCAGGGCATTCTTTTCTTCTTTTTTCTTAAACCTCACAGGTCTTTTGCATATATTTTATGGCTTCCATTTTTGTGTTTTTGTGGGATTCCTGTATGTGTAAACGTGTGTGTCTATGCATCTCTATGTGTTTCTTATGCTTTTTCTTTGGCTCTTCATCCTCTGTATGTTTTGTCCCATTCACATTTATCTGTTTTTGTTTTATCTTATTGTGTTTTATTTTATTATTATTATTCCTTGGATAACTGTTTTTTTAAAGATTTGTTTATTCATGTATTTTATGTAGATGAGTGCTCTGTTTGCATGTATGCCTGCATGACAGAAAAGAGCATCAGATCCCGTTATGAATGGTTGTGATTCACGTGTGGGTGCTGGGAATTGAACTCAGGACCTTTGGAAGAGCAGTCAGTGCTCTTAACCTCTGAGCCATCTCTCCAGCCCACCTGTTTGTTTTCTAAAGGGAGACAAAAATGGTGCCAATCTGGATGGGAGGAGAGGTAAGGAGAAATTGGGAGGAGTAGGGGGAGGGGAAACCATAACGAGAATATGTTGCATTAAAAAAAAATCTATTTTTCAATTAAAAAAAAAAAGCTGGGCATGGCTGTGAATGCCTATGATGTCAGCATTGAAGGGAGAAAACAGCTAGGCTGTGGGAGCTCACTACCAGGCAGCCCAGCCCAAATAGTGAGCTTTAGGTTCAGTGAAAGAAAAACTGTCTCATGAGAGTAAGGTACATAAGGAGTGCATGCTTGGATACACACACACGCACACACACACACACACACACACACACACACACACACACACACACACAGGAAATAATGTCTGCTCCATGAAATGTTTTCATGGAACTGCAAACCTAATGCTTTCCAGTGTGTCTAACTAACTATTCCCATGACAGGGGAACGGGGCCTCCTAGGGCCTCTCACCTCTTTATCTTCCTAATTCCCGTACAGAGAGCTAGCACTGTCTCTAGAAATGACCCCTGGTTTAACTGTTGGGTGGAGAATATGTTTGCTGATTGGACACCAAGGCTGGTTGCAAAATAGTATCCTTAAAATATTCACAATTGCTCAAAAAGTTAAACATAGCATTACCACATGAGCTAGCAATTCTATTTCTAGATATACACTCCTAAGAAATGGAAACAGGACTTCAAACAAACACTCGTATGGAAACAGTTGCAACAGCATTACTGTGGTATTCCAAAGGTAAGGAGAGTCCAAACAGCCACCAACTTACAAAGAGACCAACAAAATGTGGTATATCCATCCTATGAAACAGTATTTGGTCAATAAAAGAATAACCAGCATATGCTACAACATGCTTGGCTCTGAAATCGCTAAGCTAAGTTAAAGAAGGAAAACACAAAAATTCATACCTTGTAGGATCTCATTTCTAGGAAATGCTCAAAACAGGTAAATCCAAGCAGAGGGAAAAAATAGTCATTTCCAGGAGAGTGATGGAATGCAAACAGATCGCCTAGTAGCTGTGGGTATTCATGAAAGTGTCTTAGAAGTAGATCAGGGTTATGTCTTCACACTACAAATGTCCCAAATAGCACTGAACTGTACACCTTAAAATGCCAGTTCTGTATTATGTGAATTTTACCTCAATTAAAAGAAAAAGGAAAAAAAAAGAAAAAAAAAAGAAAAAGGAAAAAAAAACTGAAGTCAACCTGTGGGCACTTGGTTACCTAATGGAGAAAATAGGAAAGAAAGCAAGCAATGGTTGTTAGAGCAGAGTACGGTCTTGCACTTGGAGGCGGCGAAGTCTCTTAAATCTCTTTAATGAAGACAAAGAAGTCAACAGCAGAGAGAGGCAGCAGTTCAACAGACAAATGGAGCTGCCAGCCCATGGCGTCTCTGCAACCGTCGGTGACCGGCCGGAGCGGCTGAGTTTTGAAAGTCAAGTTAACATGTTCTGCGTGCAACCAGCACTGTCAATCCTTTGTCTGCGCTCTCTCCGACCCTCTCCATCAGTTCCCGAGCTTGGCACCCATCCTATTTTCTGCATGGCAGCTGTGCACAGTTGAATAGGAAATCAAACATTCTAAAAACCTGTTGTTTTTCGCACAATGTCTGATTTCCCAGATATTTCATTTCTGGTTTTCTAGCCAACGCCCCTTGTCTCGGGACAGGGGTGGCAGTCAACACTCTCAGGTATAAGCTGCTGGCCGTCCTGCTTGGAGGGAATTCGTAGGGTAGTGGGATCTGAGTCAGAACAGACAGTGTAAATTTCAGACTGATCTAGAATGTCCTTGGGAACATGTTGTCAGCAAACAGTCTTCCACAGGAAGGCATTGGGTAGTCAAGAGTTTTCTGGGGGACACACATTACCAAGGTGAACAGGAAGTTTCCAAGGATGTTGGCTCCCCACCACATGGTTCTGTAAGCCAGTCTGCTGAAAGTGGTTGCTAGCAGCCCCCACAGTAGACGAAATTAGCCCCAGAGGCACTGTTTGAAGTAGAGGAGGTATAGTTTTCCCCCTGGAAAGTGACAGAATGATGGTAAAGTATTATCTTGAAGGGGCATTGCTTCCTGAGCAATCTCATGCACAAACACACACACACACACACACACACACACACACACACACACACACACACACACACCCCTTATGGGTGCCCCCTCTTAGTCTCCAACTCTGTCTTAGTCAGGATCACTCAGTCAGGACACTGTTGACACTGGGCTCATTCTTTGTTGGGGTGGGTGGCAGTTGCAGAAAAGTAAGATGACTCAACAAGATGACCCAGTTCCTAAGTCCAGAGCTGATCACATATTTATTTTCTGAAAACTTTGTTCTGTTTCCCATGTATTGGACATTGGTGTGAACACTCTTAACCCACAGATATGTATTAAGCATCTGTAGGATATCAATATCCCAGGAAGAAGAGTAAAGAAGCCATTGTCTTCTCACTGTGGAGGAGACAGAAATGAACCTATGAGCCAGAGTTGCTAGCGTTGATGACACTTGGGTAGCTATTCTGTCCTGAGCTTGTTAGATGATCACAACTATTCCTGGACTCTTATGAATTCTAGTAGTATCCTCCAATTATAACACACGAAAGTACTTCCAAGACTGCCAGAACACCTTCAGCTGGGAGCCACTGATATAAGACAATGTTAGAAAATTAGCTTTAAAATGGAATGGAATATTCTCTGGGAAACTAGAAGCCTTCACATCCCGAGCTGCCCTTCTTCTGGTGGGACTACTCAGAGGTATTGCTCCTGGGGTAGGAGTAATCAAGCATGGGTGAGAAGAAAAGCAGCTTTGAGCAGATTGGATGAGATTATTTAATCAGATATTTATTGATAAATGTCCCTACAGGAAGGAGTCCATGCACGTAGTTGAGAACTTTAGCTGACCTGAATCACTGCAGTACTTCAGAACCTTGAATGGTGCTGGATGCAAAGTCCTGGAGCAGAATAAAGATGGATCAGTTCTGGGGCAGGTGAGATGGCTTGGTTGGTAAAGTGCTTGCTTTGCAAGCATAAAGACCTGAGTTCAATTCCCAGAATCCCTGTAAAATATCAGGACTGATAGAGTATGCTTGTAATCCCATCTCTGAGGAGGCAGAGACAAGAGGAACCTTAAGGTTCATTGGCCAACAGTCTAGCCTAATTAGTGAGCTTCAAGAGGCCAAGGAGACATAGTGTCCTGAGGATGACACCCAACATTAACCTCTGGACTTCACAAACACACACTCATGTGAAAACATGCACAGAGAGGGAAAGAGATAAAAAGTAAAAGGAGCCGGGTGATGGTGGCGCACGCCTTTAATCCCAGCACTTGGGAGGCAGAGCCAGGCGGATCTCTGTGAGTTCGAGGCCAGCCTGGACTACCAAGTGAGTTCCAGGAAAGGTGCAAAGCTACACAGAGAAACCCTGTCTTGAAAAACAAAAAAAAAAATAAATAAAAAAATAAAAATAAAAGAAAAAGAAAAAAGAAAAAAAAGTAAAAGGAGCTTATCCCAATGATCACCTTAGTGTAAAGCCATTGTTATCCTTGGTCCATCCTTCCTTTCTCTAGTCTCCTTCTCTGGCTTTATGGTCTTTTCTCTTTTCCTATCTACACCCAAACAATCCCACATATTCTCATGCACAAAGGTTAATCTGCCAAATATTCCTTTAATTAGGCCCACTCATCCCTCACACCCACCACATGCCAGAATATTCTTCTACATAAAGACTCAGACTCGTTCTCAGATCAGTTTTCTGAGAGATAAAACCCATATTAAAGTCAACCACAAGTCCCGGAATATACATTGTAGCTGAATAGTCAGTTGATGAGCCTAAGAGCCTGGAATTGAGGGCTTGAGGTCTCCAAAAGTTCTGAACGTAGGCCAAGAAACTGGGTGATCCTTGGTAATTGAAGGCCTGCACATTTGCAGTGAGAAATAACATTGAAAGTCCATTCGCCTCTGCCCCCCAAAGAAACAGTCTTCTGCGGTTACGCAGCCTGTAGCAGGCAGCCTGGATCTTGGCAAAGACGGCATGACTCTGCCCAAGTGGCTATCATTGTTTATGTACTCAGATAAACTTGATACTTTCTATATAAATTTGAGGGTATTTGGCCAAACACTTTACATGTTATACTACACCCCAAAGACCATAACTGTGTCTTTCCATGGGGAAGAATGATTGGGAAATGGCAAACCAGACAAATAAATAAATTATATGTATTTATTTTTCAACATGTTTTTCTAGACTACAGGCCTTTCTCAGGTCACACATGCTTGAAAACCTAAAGGGGAAAGTGGACTTTTGGTCTGATAGAATTAAACTCCTATTTCTTTCCCTCCTGGGTGGCAGCAAACACTTACTCAACTTGTTACTCTTGGTGAACAGAGGCCATTCAGATCCCACAGTCCCAGCATCTATAGTCACCATTCCCAATCAAGGCTCCCACTTCTTTTCCCAAGAGCTACACTCAGGCACTATCAAAGATTAGGACATGAAGTTTTACACTTAGGCGCTATCAAAACTTAGGACATGAAGTCCTAAGAAGACACTGATGAAAATGTCAAGCCACATATGGACTGAAGGGAGAACCACAATCTCCATGGAAACCTCATAAGCCCTTCACAGAGCATGGTGTCTGAGGTGGCAGTAGACTTCAGAACCTCTCAGAAACTGGCTGACTCCTGTGATCAGGAGACTACCTGAGTTCAGGTGTCTGCAGAAAAGGCAGCCTGAAGTCATCTTCTCAGAGCCCTCTGACCATCTCAATGTTTGAATACTTAGTTGCATAATGGTTTAAATGCAAAATGTCCTCCATAAGGTCATGTGTTTGAACACTCCATTCCTGGCCACTGTTGCTGCTTTGGAAGGCTGAGGATCCCTTAAAAATTGGGACCCAGATGGAGGACGTTGGTCACAGGGACTGGCTCTTGTGGGTTGTAGCCTAGCCTGGTTCCTGTCTGGACCCACTGCTTGCTTGCTAATCACAGTCTACAATGTAACCAGCCACCTATCGCTCCCACTGCCCTGCTTTCCCCGCCCCCCGCATTAATTGATTGATTATGTCCTCTCAAACTGTGAGCCAAAACCAAAAGCCCCTCCCCCTTTCAGTATTTATGCCAATTATTTAGTCTCAAAAGGAAAAGTAGATTATACAATATGTGTAAGGAACATTGTATTGACTGTTTATCCTGGTTTATCCAACTACCTATACACGTTTCTAGGCTACTAACCTGAGAGCTACACTGAGCTGTCCTTCAGCCAATCAGTTAAATGTGTTCTGCACTCCCTTTTCCTCTAACAGTGAGAACTTAAAGAAACTGAAGAAGACACTAGAAGATGGAAAGACCTCCCATACTCCTGGATCAGAAGAACTGATCTTATAAAATGACCCTTCTAACAAAAATAATCTGTAGAGTCAATATAGTCCTAACTCAAATTTCAGGACCATTCTTCACAGCCAGAAAAAAAAAGTCTCAAAACTTAGATGGCATGGTGGCACAAAAAGAAAGGAAGGAAGGAAGGAAGGAAGTGAAAAGAAAAGGAAGGGGAAAAAGGAATAAATAATGAATAGGCCAAAGTGATTTTTAACAAAAATAATACTTTGGGAGATTATCATGCTACCTGCTTTCAAATTATACTACAGACCCATAATAATCAAAACAGCATGGCACTGGCTCTTTTGATCAGTTACACTCTAGTCCTTGGGCTGCTTAGGATAAGTTTTTTGACTAAGCTATTTCAATAACCAATTAACTAGCGCTTCCACCTCCAAGTTGATTACCTACTGCCAAGCATGTTTCTTGAAGTACCCACCTGAATATGTTTGCCTTGCCCAAATGCTCCCATGCCTTTCCTGGATTCCAAAGTCTAGCTGACCTCTGAAACTTTTCACAGTGAGGCTTCATCCTGACTGTGCAGAGATTTCCTGTGTCCACTGTCCCCTGCTCATCAATTTCATTTATGCTTTATTGGTGCTGCAGCAGTAGAGGCCACCTTGATCTGTCACTCCACTGTCATTATCACTCATACACCACTGTACAGCTTCCTCGACCCAGAATGCCTTCCACTACATAGTGAAGCTTTTTAGAAACTTGTACTCTCTTTGGTCCATGTCCTTATCCTTGTTAGGCATAAGCCAAGTCACATATAAAGTCTTAGCTCTGAGGAGCATGATCCGAAGGTCCCCTTGGAGCTATGCTGAGCTCATCTGCTGAGGAGCAGACCTCATGCTGATTTCACCTTCCCAGAGTTTCCTTGCAAAGCAGTGACTGTAAGATGTGATTTACAGTCTGCTTATCTGACTTCAAAAGGTAGACTTTCACCAGTGTTCCTGTGGGAGCTGGACGATGAGGTCCAGGACCCCCAGTATCCCCTTACAATGTCAGTTTTGCACTGGGTACTTCAGCTGGTGGATTTTGTACCAGCTTACAAATGTCTTTGCGTCTGGGTGATACCTCGTCAGGACAAGCAATTCACAGCCAGCTGTGGCATTTAGCTCTCCTTTATGGCTAGGACAAATCTGAGACAACATTAATTTCCTGTTGTACCCAGAGTTGCTACCTAGTACAAGGCAGTCTGTCAATAAATGGTTGTTGATGGGTTGGATGGAATGAATCAGAGGCCAGGTGAGCCATTCTCAGCCTTGTCCCTTATTAATCAAGCCACCTTGATCCAAATTTTAAAACTCTTTGTCTCCATTTCTCCATGCTCAAAACAAAGACAACAGCCATGCCCTATTCCTGTGCTCGTAAGGTATTGTTTACCAAAGGTGGATGGATGGATGGATGGATGGATGGACAGATGGACAGACGGATGAGTGGCTGCTTGAATAATAAATGAATGGGTAGGTAGATGAATATTCACCTTGGTGAATTATCAAACTAAGTTGTTTGCTGAAATAATTTTACAACATAACTAAGAGAGATGTACAATACTATCCTAAACCACCACCCATTCACACACTATATAAAGTGGTCCAAGCTCAAAGTCATCCCCCAAGAAGCAGCCAAAACC